TTGAATACTGTTGGGAATTTTTGTAGCCCATCCTGGAAAGGAAACCTCTCATTTGAGCCTTCCCTTCCCAGAGCTTCAGGGAGTTGACTGGGAGGGCTGGCATGGTGCTTTGGTTAGGCTGGAAGCCAAGGAGGGGAGCACAGTAGGGCTACAGGGGAAATGAGTGAGACTGGGGCTTCCTCCACATCACTGGCTCTTTCAGAATCTCACTTCTCCCTCTGCACAGACTTCCCCTGCCAGCCTACCTAGTCCCCCACTGCTCCTGAGTCAGCGCTGAGCTCCTGCCCGGGACCTTCCCGGTCACCTCTGAACATTTCCCTCCTGCCGCTTTGCACCTGACTGCACGGTGCCCGTTCACCGTCACTTCTGCCCATGCCTCTGTCATCCTGCCCATCTACTTTCATACTCCTGCCCTTTCTTCCCAGGGCCCCTCCCCGCAGCTTCCCAAATTAGATTTAATGTACGGTAAGCAGCAGTCTGCAAGGCTACAGACGCATTTGCTAGTGGCCCGCTGGTATGCGTGGCTCCCACTTGTGTTGGGAATCAATATAGCAGGGAAGGGGCTTCTGAGATAGTGGTGGTGGCCTCAGTTGCCATCCTCATTCCCTTGGATGATGTCTTAGGCAGGGGATTCTTAACACTGCCACATACTTTTAAATCTGACTCGGGGCCCAGTGGTGCATTTCAGCAGGCTCCATGGTGAACAAAGTGGGCAGCCAGGTCTGAGAACTATTGATGTCATGTCAATCAAGTTACAGAGCTGATGGAGGTGCTGAGGAGGAGTAGAGGGCACGGAGGTGTCTGGGCTCTTCCACTGGGTCACTGCCGCCTACTTGAAATTGAACAGATGCATGGCATATAGCAGGGCAAGTGGACACTGCTGGGCCCATGCCTGGCTCATACTTACTGTGTGTGCATGCATAGAGAAGACCCCAATTAAGAAGGAATGTGTAAGATGGCAGGGAGGCAGTGGTCCCAGTCCTTGCTTGGAGTACAGAAGCCCAAGAGCATAGCGGGGAGGCTTCCTGGTTGTCCAGCCAGGCAGCACCCTTTGGAGAAAGGCCTGGCAGAATCCAGAGGGTGTGGCACCAGTTGGGCTGGAAACCCCGTGCCAGGGCCAGGGCAGGGCAGAGGTAACGAGGCTTGCCAGGGACAGAAGAATGGGGTTTCTGTGCTGCTTATCAGGATGGTGGCTCCTGGACAGGATGTGGAGGAGGCTGTGGAAGCCTCCGCCTGGTGGATAGCTGCAGCCAACACTGCGCCATGGGGAGGACTTTGGACAGGGAGCGCCGCTGCTGCCTTGCCGGTGACGTTGAGCTGGGAACTGCTTGGTCATGCCCAGCATAAGTCACACTCCTGTCCCTACACATGGGGAACAGTCTCTAGTCTTCGGCCATCTACGGCGAGCCAGCCACCAACTACCAAATCTTCATGTCAGACATGAGCCATGAGGCCTGGTTGGAGCCTTTGTCCTTCCTCATTGGAAGGGGCTCTTGGACGTGGGGCTTTGCATCAGGTCACGAAAGCTGGTTGTATTTACCCAGCCATTTGGGGGTTACAAGGGGATACTGAGTGAGAACGGAGTAAAGGGCCCATTATAGGGACTCTCTGAGAAGATAGGGCAGGGATTAATGAAATGTTGGCAGGAATTTGCCTTTGTGACTTGTTTCTTCCACAGCAATATACTTCAAACGTCCCTTACTCCTGGGCTAGGAGCCCGGGCCTGCTAAGGCACAAAATTGGTCATAGAAATCTGTAGAATACACTGTAGTTCTGCCCAGGGCTGGTTATAACAGGCTTATTGGGGTCCTACATCTTGAACAGGGATTGGCAGGGTGTCCTGCAGCTGGACTTGAAGTCCTAGACCTGAGGCCCAAGAGGACAAAAAAAAATGAGACTGTTGATTCAGATCCTAAGCCCTGTTCCCTCTCAGAAGTGGGTGCTCATCACCCTCCCTGGCAGAGCCACACCGGAGGGGAGCCCAAGACCTTCTGAGGGAGAAAGGAGCTCGATCCTTTTATCCTGCCCTGTGGACTGGCTGGGTACTCAGGGATAGGAACCCAGAAAAAGGGGAAAAGGCAGATGGCCCAACAGGGCCTACTGCTTTATATAAGTGCATACTTTAAACAGCAAGGGACAGAACAAAGCTTCTGCCTAAAAACCCCTAGCTAGATTTTCTTTTCTTATTCTACCTAATTTCTCCTAATCCCCCTCTCTTCTATTAAACTGGGACAGATTGGGGGTACTGGGAGGGCATATAAAGGCACAATGCACTCTCTGCCCTGGACCTCATCTGACAGAACCACCTCTGATAGGAGAGTAAGACTGTCCCTAGCTACCTAGGACAAAACTCCAGAGCACCCCCCAGAGCTCTTTATTCAATGAGGATTTCCATACTGGAAACACAGTGCAACAGGAAAGTACCCTACTCCTTCCAGCAGTACCGTCTCCTTGTGCCTGGGGTGTTATCAAGTCTCCAGTGTCCACTGGGGCCTGGAGCCTGGATCAACCAGAGAACGGATGCCAAACTTAGAAGAAGCAAGAGACCACACCTCCTGGGAGATTCTGTGCACCCAGACAGACCCGCCGGCACACAGGGCCCCAGTACCAGAAGACCTTCACATTGCCCAGCCATCTGCACCAAACTCTTACACATGATGTCCCACCCTTACCTCTTTACTGGTTGCAGGCCATGTGGTGGCTTCTGGCTGGTGACTGTGAAAGGCCAGCGTGGCATCCTGTCAGCATCTCCACCCGTCTGGGGTCCCTACTTGGACTCCATTCCTTCAGCCCCGCTAGGCGTTCTCCTGGTGGAGAATCTTGCAGGGACACTGGCCCTGCTGCAGACTTTCTTCTGGCCTCCCAAGCTGTCCTTTGACATCTCAGTGGAACCCACCATGGACCCAGGATTTGGACATGAGAAGTCCATCTGCCCCACACTTTACTACATAGATAGCTGTGATAACCTAAAGATAGAGAGGGCATGCCCAGGGTCTGCATGCCATCTTGTCCAACCTTCTGTTCATGTGAGTAAAGTCTTATTGGAACCCAGCCACACTTTTGATTTATGTTTGTGTAGTGTCTGTGGCTGCTTTTCCACTACAATGGCAGAGTCAGACATGTGCAACACAACAGTGGCCCACAAAACCTAGAATATTTGCTATTTGGGCCTTTGTAGGAAACATTACCTGCCCCTTAGACCATGGGACGAGGCTAGTGTGTGCCTAAGTCCCTCCTAAAGAAGAAAAGGGAGAGCAGCCTTAGGTAACATGCGTGGAGGTTTGGCAAACTCGTGGGAGAGAGCAGCAGAGGCTGAGTGCTGGGCACAGGCCTTGCAGGACATGCCTGGGGCAGAGGGGTGGGGGTGTCTTCTTGTCTATCCACTCCATTTTTAAGGACAGCCCTTGCCTATAGTCTTGAAAGACGAGCTCAGTGGCTCTGCTAACTCTAAGATCATGTAACAGCTCCCCTATTGAGGAGCTAATAATAAATTCTCAGATGCCATCATTTTGAGAAGCAACTGGGTGGACATTGAGGGGAGACATTGTAAAGCTGTCAAGAAGAGAGGACAGGATGAGAGCTAATGACATGAACCACGTGCAGCTAAATGTTTCCAAGTTTAGGGTTCAGGTGGGGTTAGTCTTTTTCTAAGAGTCTCCTTGAACTGACCCTGGGATGGGTGTTCTGGGCAGTGAGCCCCCTGCCCATGAAGCATGTGTGCTTGGGGGTGGGATAAAGGCAAACACAGGTGAGCTGTAGCCCTCAAACCTAATGAGGATTAAATATTCAATGCTGACAGCTTGGCTAAGAGCCCAGCTGGGCAACTTAGAAACTTAGTGAGACCCTGTCTCAAAATAGAAATGGCTGGGGATGGAACTCAGTGAGAAGGCCCTGGGCTCAATTCCCAGTATGGAAAAACAGCGACCCGCTGGGGATTATTCCTGGTGTTCTGTGCCAGAGACTGGAACAGAGGCCATGGCTAGAGCCAAGTGATGACCTTCTTCATGCCCGCAAGACCTTTGTTGATCAGAGGGGCCCTCCATGGTGGGGCTGCCCCTAATGCCTGTTCAGCCAAGGTGGCATCTTGCTGGAGGAGATGGCCTCAAATGTCCTTTCTGTTGCACTCAGCCTTGCCAGTCTCTCTCTCCTCATGCCTCGGCTTCCTCTGTGAGTTTGACATTTGGTTGATGCATGGTTGTATACAGCATATACAGTTGGGCTCTTTACATAATTATGAGTATTATGAGTTAATAATTATATGCATGTCTTGTGTTCCTGGTTAAATCATATATTGGATATATATCTGTCTCATTCTGCTTTGCCCTCCCTTTGCATGCCAATTCCTGAAGGCAGGCTTTCCAAAACAGGGACTGGCCAGTTGGCCCAATCACACAACACCCTCACCCCCCTGTAACAGAGGCAGGAAGCCGGAGGATCACAGTGAGCACCACCTAAAAATGCAGTGATTGTGCCAGACCCTGGCCAGATCTGCATCACCATCAGATTCTACAAATGTTTGTCCTCCTTCTGAACTTGCTTCTGGATAAAATGTGATATACCCATCTGTGTGCTGTAGAGATTAGAAACTGAAGAATTTTGAGCACTTGATATGTGCTAGAACCTCATAGGCAACACTAGGTTACTGGGTCATACAGCAGCCAATCAAGGTGGATGTTATTATCCCGTTTATACACAGTGTGGAGGGGTAGAAAGTGAAATGGTTTGTGCAGAGCAGTACAGCCAGCCCGATGCCTGACCAGTGTGTTCTCTACTGGACTGTAACACCCTGAGATGCTGTCCTGTCAGCCCAGGACAGCATGTTGGGCAGAAGGATCTGTGTCACTCCCTCCGGTAACTTGTGTCTCCACTTCTATGTAGGTCCCTACCTTTCTCCTCCACCTGTCACACCAAAGAAGTGCTTTTGTTCCAGCCAGGAGACCCCCATCTGTGTGAGTTCACAGTTGCAGATGAGAGCTTCACATGCTTTCTTGGTTTTTCAGGAATTTGGCCCTTGGAATTGGAATCCAGAATTTCCCAGAGGGCCTGGCTGTCAGCCTCCCTTTGCGAGGGGCGGGCTTCTCCACCTGGCGAGCTTTCTGGTGAGTGCCCCAGCATCAGAGGCAGGGCTGTGTCTCACATCAAGTGCTGGGTTCGTGTCCTGTGTTCTGTGTGAGCTGCTTTCTGTGAGATCATTCGCTTCTTGGAAGCCAGTGTAGGGCTTCTAGTAAAGCACCCATAACGCAGGTGAATATTGTCCCCTAAGGCTGGGGAACCTTAAGGAAAAATCCCACCTCCTGATCTTCCCCTCTACACACCCCTGCTGGCGTGCTGGTGTCCTGTTTTGGCACCCCTCCGTGGACTGCACACCATGCCCATTGGTGTTAGGTTATCTCCCCCTTGGGTTTGTCTACTTTAAATATCACACGCATCAGCCGACACACTGCCACCGCCCGGCCCAAAAGTCGCTCTGATAGCTCCTGTCATATGCTCATCAGTGTGAAGACGAGCATAAAGCAATGATGGCCATTATACTCACTAATTTCCCCTTTCTCTGAGGGTCTTCTGGTCTGTTCCCGTTCAGCATCCATGCCCTTTTTCAAAGGAAGGAGCTGTGGGCCAGGGAGTCAGATGGCCAGCCCAAGTTACCTGGCTCATCAGTGATGACACTGAGACCAGACACCCAATAGGCAGAAGGTTTTCTGCCCTGTGATCAGGGCTCCAGACCTCAGACTCTTCTTGGTTAAAACAATCACTACTCTACAATGTATGATAAGAGTGCTTAAAATGTCTTCTGATAACAAGCATAAAGTACCCTCCATTTCTTAGGGCCTTAGGACTTACAAGTTTGTGTACACATTTATTTTGTTTCTGCCTACCATGATCTCTGAAGAGGATTTGGGTAAGGACAGGGAGAGTGGCCACAGAGTTTGGGTTTTTTTTTTTTTTTTTCTAAAAATAAATATAATGACTATGACTGTCATTTCATACAGTTGAAACACCAGGAAGAAGAGAGAAAAAATGTTGAGCTCTTCTGGTGGCATCCAGACCCTGAGATAAAATCTTTCTCTCCCTGGTCTCATTCCCCATTTTCCTGGGGTGACAAACCCAAGGCAGGAATTGTACAAACCAAAGAGTTGCCAGGTCTGCTGGTCTGTGAACAAAAGCTGGGGGAGCCAGCAACAACAGCCCCCTTAGAGGATTTCCCAATAAAAGCAGGGTCTCCCCATGCCTAGGGGACAGGGAGTCAGGGGGAAGCAGAGGGTGGAGGAGTTCACAGACCTCACAACAGTCCTCTCATCTGGGAAGCTGGGCAGGGAGACATCTCTCATTCCCACTTCACAAGTGGAGGGACTGAGGCTCAGAGGCAGCGTATCCTGCCACGGCAAGGTTGTCCAGTTGCTGCTGCTGCTGCTTCCTCTTCTCCTCCTCCTCCTCCTTCTTTCTGAAAGTCTTACTATGTAGTTCTGGCTGTTCTTGAACTCAACATGTAGCTGAATTCACAGTGATCCTCCTGCCTCAGCCTCATGAGTGCCGGGATTACAGGCATGCACCACCATCCTGACTGTAGCTGTCCTGACTTCTTGCCTGCTGGTTCCCTGTAGCAAGTGGCATTTGCCTGTGGCGCTCATTTGCCGACTTACCGTCTGCTCTTCACATTTTCATGCTCATGAGTGCTGCCATTTCTATGGAGCATGTTTGATTTCAAGCTGTGGACATTCATTCTTGCTGGCACAAACCAGGGGATTCCTCAAGGGAGAAATCCCACCTTAATCCAGGTGAGATCAAGGGGTGGGCTGTCAATACACATGGAACCAGGTGGGACTACCTCTGCAGCAGAAGTGGGTCATTGCCACCCAGTGAAAAGGCTGGCTGTTGGGGCCTGACCTCCCGCACACACCAGGTACAGCTTGAGAAACACCCACTCCACTGTCCTGTCCCTCCATGTAGGCATCCTGTGAGGAGCAGAGATGTAACGGGGTACAGCACCACCACAGACTGCTCTTTATCTATAAAAAACACACACATTACAGGAATGCACCTTAAAAACATTTTGCTAAGTGAAATAAGCCAGTAAAAAGGGCCATTATTATATTACTCCGTTCATATGCAATACTCCGTTCATATGCAATGCAGAGGCAGTAAACAACAGAAGGAAAAAAAAGGTTCTTGGTTGCCAGGGGCCAAGAGGAGGAAGGAGCCAGGAGTAGCTGTCAGTAAGCGGGGGTTCTTTCAGAGGTGATGAAAGTGTTCTGGAATTAGCAGTGATGTTTCCACAACCTTGTAAATATACTAAAAGCCACGGAGTGTACACATTAAATCGGTGTGCCATATGGCATATGAATGATGTCTCAATAATGCTGTCAGTTTTAAAAGACATGCTCTGAAATGTAAAGCTCTAAAGGACACTGAGGTTGGGGTCTACAACCGTCATTTCGTAGGGAGCGGAGGAAACTGGTTGCAATGCCGTGACTTGCTTTTGCACTGTCATGCTCAGATGTGACACAGAATGACACACCTCCATTTTCTGGGGATGAACCCACAGTCTGGGTCTGTGGAGTGTCTGCCTGGCCCTCCCTCCAGCAGCCCGTGTTTCTGTTCCTTCCCTCCCTAGGTACGGGCAGCTGAGCGGCATGGTGGAGCCCCTGGCTGGGGTCTTTGGTGCCTTTGCTGTGGTGCTGGCTGAGCCTATCCTGCCGTACGCTCTCGCCTTTGCTGCTGGCGCCATGGTTTACGTGGTCATGGATGACATCATCCCGGAAGCCCAGATCAGGTAGGGAGCTTGCCCTCCTGTCTGCCCCTGGCCCAGCCCTGACTCGGGAACTGCAGCCGCATCTGCCTTCTTTGCATCTGCCCCTCCTCACCCCTCCCAGGGTTGTTCTGCTACACCTGTGCTCTCTGGGACTGACCGAGAGGAAAGGGCAGGGTGTCAAGACATAGCTGATATTAAGCAGTGGTGTGAGCAGGGCTTCTGCTCCCTTGATGAGCAGGCAACTCTAGGCCATTTCTCTTTGGAATTGGCCATTGCAGAGGCAACTTCTGGCCTAGACAGGGCCTCAGGAGCTCCACTGAGGCCTTGCTGTTCTCCTTCCCCTTCTCTCCTAGTGGTAACGGGAAGCTGGCGTCCTGGGCGTCCATCCTGGGATTCGTGGTGATGATGTCACTGGACGTGGGGCTGGGCTAGCACCGAGACCCTTCAGACTCCAGGAAAGGCAGCACAAGACTTCTGCGGGACCACGAGCCTCTTTCTGCAAATTAAAACGCTGTTCCTTTCTTTCCTCTTCATCTCGTTATCTGGATCCATTCTGATGATAATCTGACCATTTTTACTTCGCTTTTGAGGGAGATACTGGCTTTCTTTAGAATCTCACGGTGTCGCGGACCTACAGGGTTTTGTTTTGCCCGCTGAATGAATCTTCCTTCGGTGGGATTGTCAAGGACGTACAGATCAGGGAAATCTCTCCTCTCCTCCCTCAGTCTCCCTCTCTAGACTCAGTGACAACTCCTCAAGGTCACCCACAGAAGTAAGTTCCCTGGAGAAGTCTCCTTAGCACTTAGGCCTAGGGCTCAGAGCAGATTGGAGGCGCCCCTTCTGCTCCATCAGTGCAGATCTTCTGCCTGCCTAGGATGCAGGAACCAGAGGAGGGTGAATACAGCACCCTTTTTCAGAAGCCGAGCCAGCCTGAAGAGGAACGCACCTTCCTCTCCCTCCCCCAGAGAGATGGGCACAGGAGAGGCCGCAGACAAAGGGAAGTCAGCCAGTGTTCATCCTTTTTTTTTTAAGACAAAAATCTGTATTATTGATGGTAAAGGGATTCCAAAATTAGCACAGGTAGGAACACAGGAAAACAGGAGTGTGGCTTTGAGCAGAGGCCTCTGTTCTTGATGGGTTCCGGGAACAGAGTGTTCGTCATGGTTCCCCAATTCCTAAGCATTAATTTTTTTCAAGCTTATAGGTTCCATCTTTCTAAGAGACTTGAGAATACCAGCAAACTGCTAGAACTCAAACTCTTCGCTAGCTCACGAAGGGAATTACTTAAGCGAAGTGAAGGAAGGGCGTTGGAGCCTAGAGCGGCTCCTTGCCTGCTGACCATTTGGTAACTTATCACCCAGCCAATGACCCTTGAGCTCCAGTGGGTTTTGCTGGAGTCTGGCCAGAAGGCTTGAGAAGGAACAGGAAGAAAGGTACAAAGAAGAGAGATATCTTGACACTTCCCTCTTAAAGTAAATTTTAGCCAAGTTATTCTGAAAGGACCATAAAGAACGACTGGAGCTAGACTAGAAGCCAACCTACACCTTACACCCATAGCTTCTCCAGCCAGGGGGATAGGAGCTGTCTGCTTCAACACAGTGAAAGCCTATGTTCTCCTTGGTTAGAGGAGCCTATAGGATTTTGAGCAACTCTACCAAGAAAGCAGCCAACCCACAGAGCCAGGCATTCAGGCATGGTGTTATCAATTCCTGCTCTCTGAGTTTACATGGTCAGTTGCTTCCAAGGGTGAATCTCCTGCTCTGTGAATGCTCTAAGACCACGAAAGCCAACTTTGTGCTGGGTCTGTGCATATTCTTCCAAAGCACTGTTGATCAAAACTGAAGACACATTCAGAGGTTGGATTGGTTGAGATTAGCTGGGTTGGTGGTTGATGTATGTGTACATTTCATTGTTTTAATGTCTGTATGTAGTTCTACATAATGCAAATTGTTCTTTCTGCTGGATAAGACCTCGTAACTGTGATTAATATTAATAAAAGGAATATTGTTGTGGAAGACCTGTGCAATGTTCAGTCCTTCTCAAAGCTGCTGCTCTCCAGGGATGGTAATACATAGTTGGAACTAACCTCTCCCCTAAGCAACACCAAAAGGAAAAACTCAGATGAGAAGAGCTGGTCAGATCCTTGGTTGCAGTTAACAATATTCAAGAGGAAATTAATGGAAGGCTATTGAGGAAATCACAGTATCTATAGAATCTCACGGTGTCAGGGAACTCCAGGGTTTTGTTTTGCCCTCTGAATGAATCAGATTATCATCTCAGGGTTGAAGATGGGTTGGATCTAAGAAAGCTAGAGGTCTGGGATCATGGCCTAGTCTCACCTGGCTAACAACTCAGTTTAGGTGCCTTGACTTCTAGTGCTGGCCCCAAGACACAGGGCACCATCAAGGTGATGGATGGAAATACCTAGCTGGCAGAGCTGAGATCCTGTGCTTATGAACTACCTGGTCTTGCCCCTTACCAAGACTCACAGAATAGATTTTCCAAAATTTGGAATGAGCTTAGATGGTAGAGAGCCAAAAGAAGAAACCAAGTTTATCTGTGAATTCCCCTGTTTGCAATTAGTGTTTGGCCAAGAAGATGTAGCTATTCCTTAGACACTCAAAGCTTCACTCAACCCTTTGCCAAAGGGAGCTACCTTGGTTCAATGTGCTTTGTCAAGTCCTGTACTAAGGATCGCTGAGTAATGGTCACTCCTCCCCCAGCTGAGTCACAACCCCATGTCATTTTTTCTACCATTTGGGCGACACTGTAAAGTGAACCATAATCATGTATTCTTTGTATCACAGAAGAAGTAAAGAAGAAGGAAAGAACAAATTAAAATACTGACTGATACACATGGCACAAAAGAGAACGTAGAGGCTGCACCTCTTCTCTCTTTCCCTGGAGGAAAAAACCCTGGATGATTTCCGGTTCCTCACTTCCGGCTTCCCTGCTGGGAGTGATCAAGGGAGGGGAAGGAGAAGGCTCCAAAGAGGACTGCTGAGGTTCACTTCTAGACCCCACCCTGACCTGTGTCCCACACCACAGTATTAATATTTTGCCGGGAATTGTCTCTGCAGCCAACATTGTAACCTACACTTTTTTTGTTTTTGCTTTTGTTTTCTATTATTGCATATTTGCAGGACGCAGTGTTCACATTCCTTGTGTGGAGTTGGTACATATACGTGATACACCTTAATTCTTTCTTCATCTCTTTCCCTCCCTCTTCTATTGCTTCACCTGCTTTCTACTGGAGAAAGATCTATTGTCCTGCTTCCTATTATCTATCTTCTATTTTGCTCTTTATTTATATTTTGGGGTTCTCATATAAGAGAAACCATGTGTTGCTTAAGCTTGTATCTGATTTATTTCACTTAACATTATGGTCTCAAAGATGACTCAAGTTTACCCTTCTTTCAGGCAGAGTAGTACTCCATTGTGTGTAAACTATCACTTTTTTATCCGTTTTATTTGTTGATGGACATAGAGGCCACTTCCAGGACTTATCCTTCTTTAGGCCTGTTCACCTAAACGTGTGAAACTTTGGATGGCCAGCTGATATGTCCAGATTGTTACTGCATCATCTCTTCCTGTTCAGCACCTACATGTACTCTAATTCCTCTATTTTCACTCCTTTAGAAAGTTTCCTCTTCAATAGAATTAGCCCTCATATGTATTCTACATATCCCCTTTCCAGAGGGACCTGCCCAGCAGCCAGAAGCCTCCATGATGGGTGGCACATTCCTTTTGTGGGCACTAAAAATTTAAAGTCAAAAGAAACTGTCACATACAGAGTAGACAGTCTTGGGGCTGGGGATTTAGCTCAGTGGCAAAAGCGCCTGCCTGGCAAGCGCAAGGTCGTGAGTTCGGTTCCCGGTACCGGAGAAAAAAACAAAAAAAAAAAAAAAAAAAAAAACACACACACACACACAAAAAAAAAACCAGAGTAGACAGTCTTGTCCACCGCATTACTTGGCTGGTTTAATTTTTTGCGATGCTAGGGATTGAACCTAGGGCCTCACCTGCTAGACAAGTATTCTACCACTGAGTTGTAGCCCCAGCCCTGACAAGTTTTGTTTGGTTGTTTTTATTTTTTATCATGTCCACTTAATTAATAAGGTCCTTTTCATAGTGGGGAATTGAGAGGAGTTCCTTTTACTGGAGGAACAATAATTTTCAAGTTGGGTCTGTTCAGGGAGTTGAATCCTGTATGTCTCCCCTAACCTCTCTGTCACCAAATGTCCAGTCTTTCTCCTTTCAAATGCTTAACTATTTACTCAGATCATTTGTCACTGCTCAAGAATGGGAAGAGCTTCTTGCCCCTCTTTCTTTCCTTCCAAGCAAAGTGAACACAAAAACATGTAAGAGCTGTCCCTTTCCTACCCTCTGTACCAGAACCCTCCATCTCAGAGTTTACTTAGAGGTGGACCAGCTTATCACATGGGCCGCTGTGAGTGAGGCTTTGTGGGTTTTCTTCTCCTGGCCAAGGATTCTTGGGAGACTGTCCTCGGGGCACCATTACATTTATGAAGCAGCTAGGGACAATGCATGAGGACCAAGCCATCTGTGAATAACACTTACTGGTGCTTTCAGGACCCCATCAGACTTCGGCCCATATAAACCATTCTAATTGGTAATGGAATTTTCATAAGGGAGTTGGATAACCCAGTACATGATGGACAACTAAGGCTCAGTATGTTGGGATCAATCAGCTGGGGCCCTGCATTGAGTACTGGGGTGCAGAAGCCACTCCCAGCTTCTCCCTACACTAGCATATATACTCCGCTTCTTATAACAAGTATCTGTATCAGTAACTTCAGACCACGAGGATGTTCTTCCATTCACTGTTAAAACATCCTAACATTCCATTCCAACACACATTCCGCCAAGCTCATGAATAAAAATTAAGAAAATCCTGAAATGAATCCAGGTATGGTGATGTGCATCTGTAATCCCAGCACTCTGGGAGGCTGAAGCAAGAGGATTACAAGTTCGAGTCCAGCCTAAGCAATTTGCTGAGAACTTGTTTCAAAATTTAAAAAATACATTTTTTTGGTACCAGGAATTGAGCTCAGGACCTTGCTCTTGCCAGGCAGGCACTTGTACCACTGAGCTACATATCCGACCCCCCAAAAATACATTTTACCAAAGGTATGAAGCTATAGCTCAGTGCCAAGGCCCTGGATTTATTCCCCAGGGCTGCAAAACAAAACTCCGGAAGTTATATTGGTTTCTAACCTTTCTCCTCCCAAGCTTGGGTTTGCCACTGCCCCTCTGCTATGGCTTGTGTACGGTGTTAGTGTGTCTCCCAGAGGTTCATGTGTTGGAAGTTTGGTGTTCAGTAGGACAACAGTATAGGGTAGTGGGACCTTTAAGAGGTGGGACTTCATGGGGGGTCATTAGGTCATAGGGAGCATCACCCTCAGAAGGGATGTGGGAGTTCTTGGGGACTTTGGTTAGTTCTGGAGAGAAAGCTGTCATCAAAGAGTGAACCTGGCTCCCCCTGTACTCTGCTTTCCTGTATCACCTTGTTACCTCTGCTTTTCACACATGCTGTCACCATGACATCATCTGACACCTTTCCCCAGAGGCAGAACCAATGGGGGTACCTGATCTTAGACTATCAGCCTCCAAAACTATGGAGTAAGTAAACCTCTTTTTTATATAGTACCCAGCCCTAGGAATCTTGTATAGTGATGGTAAACCGATGGAATGCTTCCTTCTGAAGTAGGCTGGGATATAACTGCATCAGACCTGAGTACCATAGAGGGCAGTACACATGGGGAACTGAAGTTCTGCTGCAGGTTGGCTCCTGCAGACAAGGCAAAGGCATATTGTGTCTTCACAAAGTGCTTCAGGAGATAGAAGAAGAGGGGTTTCCAGGTACAGAGGAGGCTCTTTGAGGGTTGATGATTCAGAAGACCCTGAGTTTTTCAAATCCTCCCGTATGTCTCCATTCTGTCTCTGGGTCCTATTCCTCCTGGACCAGTGCTCCAATTTTCTTTAGCAAAGCTGTAGAAATTCAGCCAATCCTCAGGATCCAATTTTACTTTTGATTCTGTTTTCTCAGCCTTATGGCTGAAACAGGTAAGATATTTCATAGAAAATCTCAGGTTTTAGTCTCTTCCTTGATTCAGGATTTGACCTTGCCAGGGTCTTCCCTGGCATCCTCAGGAGAGATGGTCTTATGCTGTGGTGCTGAGGGTGGACTGCAGGGCCACTGTGTAGCTTAGACCCTGCTCCCGCAGTTCCCTTTAGCGGTTGGAGTCCATCGTCCTTATCCCCATTGCTCCTTGAGGAAGAGGAGGCCCAGGAGGGCTTATGGCCTGTGTGGAGCTGGGTGGACACACACTGGGTCTTCGCCTTGCACAAAGGCAGCAGAATGCAGGAAGCAACTTCCCAACCCCCTCACCTGCAGAAGTTCCTTTGGTGGGGCCCGGTCCTGCATACATGGGAGCTTAGGTTGCTTAAACATGAAAGTTAGCAGGAAAAGGGAGCCCAGCGGCTGTCCTGCTTACCTCTGGAGTACGATTTGCATATGCCAACCTCACCAATTTCTACTGTGTATCACACAGCTACACGGATGGATTTTACTTACCCACCCTTGGCCCTTGCTGGGCCTGAGGATTCCCCTAAGCCGCCGCGATCACGGGCCTTCTCCTCTGCTGAGCACCCCAGATGAGCCCAGCGCCTCAGCAGCAGGTGAGGCTGGCTGCTTGCCTGGGTGCACGTTCCCGGGGCGGTGCCCAGAGTCCCCGCGGCGCCGGGCCAGGCGCCAGAGCGGATCCTCAGGCAGCTGTTGACCTGCGTGGGCGGAACAGAGACCAGACTTCGCACGCAAAGGCGGTGCGCTGGGAAGCCCTGGGGCCCGCCTCCCGCGGTTAGCCTGCCAGTTTGCAGAGGAATGCTTAGGGCAACCCGTCCACATGCTGGGCTACAGCAAGATTGGTCAGACACCTTAAAGGGGCTCCTGACTGTCTGTGGGTCGGTTGCCTCTTGCTTGTCCCTGCTAAAG